TCCTATTTCCCTGGCAAATAATGAATTTGGTTAGATCTTTATTAAGAGAGTTTTTCCTGAAAATGACTCAATAAAAGTCATGTTTGACATAAAAGAGAAAGTCAGCATTGCTTGACTGGAGTGAACTTAGAACTGCCTTTATGATATGTTACCGGAGACAGTAGACTCCTATGACAAATAGTTAACAGTACAGTCATTTAAATAGTAACCACACTTCCTACTATTCTTAGTCACTTTTTTTTTCTACCTGCACACCCTGAAGAGTTAAAGGTAGTCTGCGTTGCTTTACAGCTAAACTGTGAGTTTTGCCCCTCCATCAAGTGAACGGCTCGGATCCCCTGGGCTGTTACTTCATCCTTAGAGTAAAAGTGGTAAATCTGAAACCAATAAACGAATCCAATGATATCATCTTGTTATTCAATACCTCCGTTATTTCTTGTACTTCCTTGCTGAGATCCAAGAAAATCTAACCATCTCGTGGACTAACTATTTCTGCCAAAGATATATTCACTTCGGCTTTCCGTTTTATAAGAGCGCAAATATGAATCCAGATTGAAAGTGCTGTGTCAGAGATCACAAAGGGAAATTGCATTGCAATTTGGGCACGAAGGTTTATTCTTATAATCAATACGACTTTCTCCGGGTAAAGTGTGAGTGGGAACCGGTGAACCTGTCAGGGGACAGACCAACATCCTAACTAGAAAGCAAAGCAACCTGCAAAACAGCTAGAATTTTCTGACGCTTTTTGAAAGGCCATTACGAATTAAGTACCGTCAAGCAAAACATCCCTTGAATCATTAGTATAAATGATAGGGTTAAAAACTAGATCGTTTAAACTGTCACCTTGGGGGCAAATACCAACTGCATTGTCAGAATTAATTACCTTTCAGCCAAACGTCCATACAATCAGAATTAGAAGTGATAGGGTTAATAACTCGAGGGTTAAAATAATCACCTTGGGAACAAACACTAACAGCATCGTCAAGGAAGTACCCATGATCAAGCACATGGATAAAAGGGCATAGGATGCGTTATAGTGCTCAGATCCTTCCAATGCCAGCGACACCACAGCACCAATGACGGACAATACGAACACGTTGTAAACCGACATTCCGATGTATTTTGAGTCATTCAGTGCTGGGATGGTTACGTTGCGTGTCTCCCAGGCCAAAAAGATCCCGAACAACAGCAGCAGCCCTTTGTATGTAAATACGACCGCAAAAAAATACATCTTGTATTTGCAAGTGCATTGGTACAATGCTGGGATGATAACAACTTGGTATTCTCGGTGAACTTCGCCCTGTAACCATAAAAAACAATGGAACTTGAAACTTTTAACAACGTGCTGATTTCAGGAAACTGGAATGTCTATAATGGTAAAAGGTTAAGTATGTACTCGAGCTAAGTGGTCCACCAGCCATGCAGAGCTTTTCAAGGTTTACTTGAGGCAACGAACGACACTAAGCGACATTGAGCGACAATGAGCATCGCTTCTTCCCCCTGAATGAGATGCTGGTATATTGCAAGCAAGAAACTGCAATAGAGCCCCTTAAAATACCCCTTAAATATAAGTAATTTATTGATTTTTCCCGAAAGTTCAAGTCATTGGCAGTCGACGATAAATGCAATCTCTGTGGGTCTCCTCTGTATGTGCAATTCGATCACTCAAAACCTAAAATGTATACTTATTTCCATTTAAAATTGTAACAACTCACCAAAGTTTCTTCGAATTTCCGCATTTCGGATTGGAAAGGATCTGTTGCAATCCAGCAGCTTAAAAACACCACATCAGTCATCAGCAATGCCGCCACAGTCACTAACAGGTGATGGTCCTTGATTGCCTGCGACAGTCAAATTAGAGCGTGGAAACTATTGAATTCACACACGATGATTAGTATAGGACGCCAGGTGTCGTTATTAGCCCCAATTAGTTTCAAGATACGCTTTTTAGAGTGTCGATCCTTTCTCTGATAAGAAAGTCTAGAAATGTATGGCAGAAAGAAGCACATTTGCGCTGAGTGCTATGTAAAAACATTTCTATATTTTGAAAGAAGGTGTAAATTCTTACCATTTTTTTAAGGCTTGCGCCGGCTGCAAATATTTTGTGAACTCGCCAGGTTTTGCTGAACATGGCACCAAATGATAAAGAATACCCAATGCACAGAACTGCACTTCGAACCTGTGACCAGACAAAGTAATATTGTCATCACTGTTTCAACTACGCTCTCTATAAACAAACTCCGTACCAACTCCTTGGCGTCACTCTCAATAACAAGCTTAAGTTTGAGGGAAAGATTCGTAAAATCTGTCGTAAAGTAAGTCAACAGGTTGCTTTTCTCAATCGTCTGAAAACAACTTTGACTTTTGAATTGAGGACATGTAGATATGTATCGTGCTTTCATTGCACCGCATTTCAATGACTGCTCAGACTCGTGGCATCACTGTGGTAAAAGAGGTTCCGGCAAACTTGAAAAAAATCAATGAACAAGCCTTTCGCTTTGTGACCCGTGACAAGTCAACAACGTTCGAGACGTTGCTAAAACAACTAAACCTGCTGTCTCCATTTAATCAAAGAATTGTAAAATGGCCACCGGTGTCTACAAAGCTATCCATGGGAATAAAGTCCCTAAATGAATAGGAGAGCTATTGCATGAACAATCAACTAATTATAATCTTAGAGGAAAACACATCCTCGAGCTACCCTGCAGCTAAGATTTGGAACACTCTTCCCGATCAGTTTCGTGCTGCTGATAAAATCGGAACATTTTAGAACTTGATGTCTATGTTGGATTTCTCAAATTTTACATTTTAATTGTGATCTACACTTAGTTTTAAAAGTTTTTTTAATTGTATAAATATATTATATAGGTTTTTATGAGAAATCTTCTCTTTCTTTTATTTCTAGTTTATCTTTATTTTTTGTAGCATGTCTGTAAAGTAGCTAATTCGCTAAGAACATTTGACCACGTTAAATAAAGTTTATAATGCTATTATTGCAAAGGAAAACACTAAACGAGGGCTTTGGCGAATTGATTTCTAATTTTGCTATAAATTGCTCAGAGAAGACTCATATCGCCTACACTTTGTGCAAGTTGTATAGGATCGAGGAGTTAATCTTGGCCGTAGTACCCCACTTTCTATTTTTCCTTCAAAATCTTAATCCATTGGAACCGATAAAATATTTCGAAAGTGTTTGGAAGCATGCTATTATGTCAATAATTTAAGCCTCACGTTACAGATCCTGGTGTACTCTTCCAACGTCAAGAACCTCCCATCAATTCCAAACAAAATCACCGAGATGTAACATAGTATGCTTCCCATGACCATGATATTATTGAGGTTTGGCGATGACATCTTTATTATCCTAGATAAGGGGAGAAAATCAAGTTAGTTTGTACACATCGATAAAATATTCTTCTGGACTGAGTTGGTCTACCATCCACTTTGTTTCTGAGATGGATCCAAGATTTGTGAAAAGGGGTTTCGAGCGACCTCTGAAGGAACACCAGGCAAATAGGGGGGGAGAGAGGGGGGAATGGGAGGGGATGGCAGTGTCAATTCCTAGCAAAAATTTAAAAATTCTAGGACCTTAGGCCTCAAGGTGTTATTTAGTGTTTCAATGTCTCACTTGTTCACGTCAAAATGTTACTCTTGTGCGTTGCTCTTGTAAAATGCATTTGGTGTTCAATATCCTTTTGATGCGAAAAGTTGTCGTTAGTCCTTTTTTAACTTTGCAAATAAAATGCCATTTACCGTATGTATTAGCTAATTTTTATAAGCTATTTTTTATTTCCTATTTTTTTAAAATAGGCTATCTTGATTTAAGGGGGGCCTATTAAGCACGCTGAACATCCCCGCGCCCCGCCTAACCGCCCCCTTCCCCCATCCCCAGCCTAGATCCGTTTTGGGTGCTCTGTTTACTACATTAACTAACAAACGTTTTTCAATTTAGACTGTTGATATCGTTGAGAACTTTGAAAAAATTTTATAAAATTTAGATATAGGGGAGAGACCGATTTTCTCCTATATCTTGACTTTTATCTTGCTCTTTATAAATATAGCCTTTTTCAGGTTTTATATAACGTTAAAACATTACAAAGAATAAACAGTTTCGTCCAATGCCACACCTGGTTTGTCTGTTTCTTATGCTAAAACCCAAAAATCCAAATGAAAAGGCCACTCCAATGGCTGCAAACAGCCACACAGCAATCGTCACTGGGAGGGAAATCTTCATCAATTGAATCTCTCTATAGATGATGGTGCGGTCCAGGGGTGGCTGATTATCTGAAAATGTACAATTTGGACACAACTTGGACTCTCAGTGGTTCCAAATCTACCTTAAGATTTATTATCTCATTATTTAAAACATAAAAAATCAAAAAATTTCGTGTTTTGAGAAATTGCGCCTTAAGTGACGAATTCCCAGATTTTAATTTACTGAAGGCTTTTGGTTGGGAGGAAACGAAGGGAACGCTTTAAACGCCGAACACTCGGTAAACCGACAGAAAGTGTGGTGTATTATTTAAATAAACAAAAAAAAAAAAGAAGAAAATTTGATGAAAGAGGTGAAAGGATCTAAACTGATTAAAAACGGCCTGTTATGGTGAGCATGGGAGGTTAAAGAACCCACGCACTTTTGGCAAAGAGTAGGGAACGTAGCTCCCGATTTTATGGTCTGGCCTTTTTTGTTTTGTTTTTACATGTCTCTAATTAAACAAGCTTTAAAGCTGAGCTGGGCCAGACTGACTAGATATCGCAAATACGTAACAATTATCACCGTAGTGGAGGTGAAAATTGTTCTAGTATATACCAAACGGAAAAAAAAAATAGCATACTTCCGATAATATAACCAAAAAAGATAGGAANCGCCAAAGCAGCGTTAATAGGACCGTAAACGACAAAGCAGCTACGGTAAAACGGTAAGGAGACTTCATATGTTGTATTCCTCGCTTTCATAATCGTTTTTAATTTTTTCTTTATATTTCTTTATAATTTTTCCCTTTTTTTAACGACCTACGCTTACGCTTAAAATTCGATCATGATCTGTTAGCTATTCCAGTTAATGACCTTTAGACCCCAAAATCACACAAAGTACGCGTGGGCCGCCTTTGGTCTGACGTGTAATTTTTAGCTTGATCATTCTTACCCGTCCATTCACCTGCATATAAGATCAATTTATGATCGTCTGCTTGCCTACCTTGATATTGTCTAATTACTAATATTCCTCCTCTTTCTTCATTCTCAGTAAAGGACACCAGTCCCTACAATATAAAAACACATAACAGCTTGACAAGGAAAATTCACAAAAGCGAAGCGAAAATTAAATTTTCATGCCAAGCAAAGCTTAAAAATAATCTTCGGGAATATTTCTCTTAATTAGATACAAAGTTGCCCGTGAATTCGGACGCATTTCACCCCTCTGAAAAAATTAAAAGCTCTTTCCCTTTCTTTTCCCTGTAATGATAGGATCAGTACTAAATGTTTTGTTTTAACGGCGTATGTCTAGTCGACTATTTTGGCGATGGATATTAATGTTACCGTAAGTCCCTCAAAGCTGACTTCACGAAGTTTTGATTGTATGGTTTCAGTTATTTTTGAACTTCCTAAAAAACTTTCAACATTGTGTTCCAGGGGCAAACTATGGGGCAGCGCTGCACTGGACTCTTTCAAAGCCAGCAGGATGGCCCACATTGTATCGAAAGCTGTTGTCATCCGGATTTTAGATGTGTCACTCAGGGCTCCTACACCTGCCATATCGAATACTTGTCTTAAAGACTAAAAAGAAAAAAATACAGTTAAGTAGCAGTATGAACAGCGTAATGTAAATTTAATTACCTTTCTAAGACTTTATTTAACAGAGATAATCAATTCGAGTAGTACACTAGCTAAAGGAAATTCTCATTGTGGTTCATTTTCAGCCGTAAAACGGCAAAACGTAAATCAAAACAACAAAAGCATCAGGAGCTTTGGATCACTTGACTCCTTTCTCCACTTCTTTTTCTCACTTTTTCTCAATGCGCTCTTAAGTTGTAGATGTCAAGCTACAACTCTCGAAGGAATCTTCTAGCCTCAGCAGTTTATATGCGATAAGAATCCTGCATACTGCAAGGGTTATGTGGAAGAATAAACTGAATACTCTGTGACTTCAACATTTCAAGGCCAGCGGTAAAGGATTGGTTATGCAAAGTATTCAACTCGCCAGAGGCTGAGGTAGTATGGACCTTACACAATTTAAACAAACCACCCATTTCTTGGCCGTCCTCTGCAAGAAAAGAACGCGAAGACACCAACATTTGCGTTGTCTAAGAACGGCAACCCCGGCGACAAAATGTTTGAGTTTTGGTCTGGAACTCAACATTTATGTTGAAGTGGCGTCGCCATTCGCAAAATGCTAGCTAAAAATATAGATTAATTTAATTCGTTGCGAACCGAGAGAAATGTCTGAAAAACATTTCGTGATAATTTTTTTCAAAACTTTCTTTACTTTACGATTCGAGGTTTGAATATGGATCCGACTTCACATATTTAGCTAACGCTTTTTGTTGTACAGACATCGTTAATAGATCGAGAACGGTGAATTTTAAACTTGTTCATCTAGTTGAAGAAATGTTTTATTCATTAAATAGAATTCTAACCCTTACCAAGCCAGAACTGGTTACCGTTTTGTCGTCAGTGCGATATAAAATATGTTTGTCAAGTATAAAAACTCCTTCAGCAGCTTTTTCGTATTCTTCTTTAGTGCAAGTGCCGGTCTTATTCTTTCTTCTCTCAACCGCTGCATGAAAATCCCAATCGTTCACAGATCCAGCATCCGGATGTAAGATCCAAACAGACTCCGGTCCAAAATTATTCATTTTGAATAACTAAAAATAAGGGAAGATTTAAAAATTAGTGAGCATCGACATCCTTCATTTCCAGAGAGTACCTCCACATTCCACTTCGATAGAAATCCAGTGAACTTCTCAAAATATTCGGTGTCTTAGTCCTCGAGTGAAAAAAAAAAAACACCATCACCTTGCTCAATTGTTTTCCATAGTTAAGCCCTTAGAAGTTACTGTTGGACAAAACGTGGTGTAGGGGCAAAGTTGGAAGGAAATCGATGGTGCGACTCAAAAGGCAGCACTCTGCTTTAAACATAAGGAGACCACCGTAATAAATCAAGTTTCTGTTCTAATCTCAAAGATCACTAATACATAATCATCAAAATGAACTGTACTAAAGTAATAAAGTATAAACAGTAGACTTCAATCCAAAGTATATTACATTCAAGTTATGGTCAAATAGTGCGATTGTATTCTACCTCGCAAAACACAAGAGCAGCTCCCCGAGAGTCGAACGCTCCAATAAATATTTTGGTATCCAAATCCTTGAAGTAAAAGGAAAATATGTGTTACCTAACCATTGTAACCATTTCAAGATTTTCCTTTTTATAAGCGACTGCCAACCCTAAGTTTTTATAATCTAATTGTAAATAAACAAAATGTTTTAATAACACGTGTAGTTAAAGGGATTAAGTTATCCCTTTGCTGGACAAACTATTGCCGGTTCATGAACTGACCAACGTGTAAAAAGAATGAGCGACCGAACTACAACTGCTAAAGCTAACAGGATCTTGGGTCTACTAAAACGCACATTTGGCAGGTGCTCTGAAGCAATAATAACTGGATACAAAACACTGGTTCGTCCTATCATCGAATACGCATGTCCCGTTTGGAATCCACATCAAGCCTACCTGTCAGACAAACTTGAAAGAATCCAAACAAATGTCTCACGCTGGATCCTTTCTGGACCTATTGATTATACCGAACGTCTGCAATACCTTGGCTGGATGGAACTTAAGTCTTGTAGGGAATATCTATCGATGATTCAACTATTTAAGTTCATTAATGGTTTCTCGAGAGTTAAGCTTGATAATTATTTATCGTTCTCTCGTGCTAGCACTAGATCAAGAAATAGTAGGAAGATTTGGAAACCTTTTTCAAGAACTAATATCTTAAAATTCTCTATCTGGCATAGATATATAGATAAATGGAACTCGTTACCAGATTCTCTAAAATGTGCCGATTCATTGTCAAAATTTAAAAAGGGCTTAGTTCAGAGAATACTTTTTAACTAGTGTGCGATGAATATAAAATTGTTGCGATTGCATATTTAATTAGATGATTAGATGATTTTAATAACTCCATTCTGAAAGATACATTTTAGTGATATTTTTTTCATTTTTCCTTACAAATACTTTTTATCCGATTTATATTTCCTTCATAGCTTTGAAGATATTTTTGGGGGTCATCTTASACGAGGATTCAGTTCCTCTCTGATGGCAGCCTTTTTATTGATTATTACAATAAAGTTGTTATAAATAAACTAAAGATGAGCTGGTTCCACAATGCCAGGCCTCCTATGTCCAAGTCAGGGAGACTGGTGGCAGAGACACACGACTGACAGCAAAAAAAAAAACGAGCGACGACAATTGGAGATGTCTCAACAACATTGCGGAACATCATCGATTAACCCTTATTCGTGACAGTACAAATGTAATTTTTACAACTTTCAAAATTGCCCTGAAAACAAGACTTCCGCATGACAGACACGCCTTTCATTGCAATAGTGAGTAATTTTCCTTTCCTCACATCGCCCCGAAGAATAACCCTTTAGTTGTCAATGTTGATAGTCGTCAAGCCAGCTAGTCAGCCCCTCACGTCGGATTAAGTCTTGTCGACACCCGAGTTGACCCTACAAGAGGAGCCCACATGTCCTCAATTTTTTCCAAAACCTGAACCTACATGTATCACTGCATCAAAGAGAAGCCACATCCGTGACTTTATTTTTCTGCATCATTGTGTCTCTACACCATAGTCTACCAAACATTTTTTTTGTAATGGATTTGTTTTTTGACCTTGTTGTCAATGTCTTAAACACTTTAGTCAGTGGAAGGACTGATCTAGGTCAGACTCGAAGTAAACCACAAATCTAGCCTGAACCCAAGTTCGTTTAAGGTGTGCATTTTAGGCACTGTTTGCGGCGTTTACAATCCCGGCCTCGTGCAGAGAACCTTACAGTTTATTGCCTTTAAGAGTTATTGACGATTACCTGTAGTCTTTTTATCTTTTCTCGGACATCTTGGTTCACGTTTACTAGGCTCATTTCTTCTTCGGTACTGATAGCTCCAATACCCGTTATCTTGAAGTCAGCCATCTGCTCCAGAATGTCTGCGAACTGGAATGAAGTATTGCAAAAACTTTAAGGATCCACTCAAAAGTTCAAGATTTGAGATCTCTAAAAGAAAATGCAGATGTCGGGCTGCAAAGTGTGAACGCTAACAAAGGCTTTTTAGACTTTGTTTCCCAACATTTCTCAGTACGTGCTAAAACATCATTAACGGTTGAAATAATAAAGACATCCGTGCAAAATAAGAAAAAATTAAATTTTATCGTGGCAAGGCTAAAAAATTCAAATTGTCTCTATTTTTGCACACAAATAGCCGCGAGGAAGACAACGCTGAATATTTTATCCCTCAAATATGTTTTTATTTCGAGAAAAACTAACTTTTCGCTTTCAGCCTATGAAATCGATGAATCGAATCAGGTCGAAAATTGAGCACTTTCGCTCGCTTAGCGCGGTTTCAAAGGTATTGCGTTTAAGGAAATCGATATAAGCAACGTTTGCTCCTTCACAGAAACTTCCTCTTTTGTAAAATGTAATTTTTTGTGTGAATTGGTTGCTTAGTACTGAGCTTTAAGCCTCACGAGGAACGAAAGTGATCTCTTCAGTTACAAAAAAAAAATGTTAGCAAAAATAAACGTTTCTTTAACCACATGCCATTTTTCGGCTGATTTCCATCAAACTCCTCGCCACGTAGAAAACTCTTCCAAGAAACACACCGAAAACATAAAATTACGCATTTTGTTGATTACGTGACCAAAAAGATAAGGAGCATTCTGCCTTCGAAATAACTTCGGATCGAAAAGGAGAACTTATTCAAAGTTAAATTACGTAAACATATCTACTTCTGTTTTATTACACAGTCGATTTTGAAGAGATATTCTGCCATCTTTCTTTGTAGCACGTATGTGCACTAGTACGAGTATTAAAACAGTGCACGATCAAAAACTTTGCTGGTCTCTCTGGAGTGGAGTTGGTCTACTTCATTTTATGGGTACAATTACGTATTTCCTGCAGTTTCCTGCGTCGCGAATAAACATTTTCCCATCTACAGTTTACGTCATTTTAAAGGTCATTCCTTCGAAAGTATACATACATTGTTTGATGGAGTCAAAAAAAAAAAAATATGGCAGATGGTGAAAAAAAAAATGGTTATTTCCAGCAACACTTTTTTTGTAAATGAAGAGAACACTTTGTTTTTCCGTGTGGCTTTAAGCTACAGCCAATTCCTATGAAACTTGCATTTTACAGTAGAGGTAGAGTCTGAAAGAGCGCACGTTGGTTAAGATTTCCTCAAGGCAATATCTTTGAAACGCGAACCGAGCAAAAGTGCTAACTATTCGACCTTTCTGACCCGAAAAGTGATAAGATGGCTTTGCTCGAAAATAGAACCCCATTGGAGGGAAAAAATGCGCAGCGTCTTTGTCTTACTAGGGGCTACTTATGTGCAAAAATAGAGACAATTTGAATCCTTGAGTCTTGCCACAAAAAATTCATTTTGTTCAAATACAACTCAGTATCTCAGAGTGCAGGAGGGTCAGGGAGATATAAGGTTGGACTTGTTGTCTTTCTTTATTCAATTTATGAACAATTAGTATAGGTAATCACATGATATTTCTGGTGCAATTTGGAATAAATAAGCACGAGTAAATTTTTTCATGTATATTAATAATACACATGAAAAAATACGAGGTAGCCTATCATAATTATGCTGAAGGAAAGCGCGCGCATCACGTGCAAAAATAATTTATTCCAACCCTGCAAGTGACATTGATCTTGACAATGACATTGACAAATCATTCTGACCAATCCGAATGTCTGGTTTTTTACTTTCTTTGCACTGAACTAACCCTCTTCTGCACTGAATTAACTCTCTTCTGCTTTGAATTACCAGAAAAATACATTTATTTTAACCAATCAGAACTGAGTAATTTTTTCATGTATATTATTAGTAGAATAGTTTAATTCTGTTTCATTAGCACATATTTTGAGTAACCACAACAGCGAACCGCACCTTAACGTAAAGGCCTCCCTCTCCTGAATAGTCATACACAAGTGCAGCTCTTTTCCACTTAAAATGATTCATTATTTTCACGACAGCTTTGTTGAAGGTATACGCTGTAGGAGCAAATGTGATTCCATATGGATCCACTGTTTCCTTCATTTCGGAAGTTGTCGTCAAACACGTTACCTTTCAAAGAGTAAGAAAAAATTGAATTTAAACTATTTACCTCAGTTACGTCATTGAAGCTGCATATCCCAAAAAAACAACTTTGTTCAGGACATTGAGTTTTGACGAAGTTTTGTGCATTAAAACTCACCTAAATATTCATTTGCATGAAATCTCTAAAAATGCAAAAGAAAGTCTCTCAAAAGATGTGTAAGAATTGCTCGAGGCGCAGCTGAGAGCAACTCTAGCTACTTGAGTGCTCTCCAAATTTCCCAAGTGCTTCAATTCTCGATGAACGCACTGCTGAAACACGAACAAATTGTTTTGTAACATTTTTAACGCTGTAGTTTATGAGTAAAGGGCAGAAATTCCCTCTTCTATGCCTCAATGCATTGTTTATTTTGTTTCGGAAAAGTATTTCGCTATGCTTCAATGATCTCGCCTCAGATTGGTCAAAAACTGACAGGTGAATTCATGCGTGTAAATGAACGTCATCAGCATGCACGATGGGAAATTCAAGCACGCTCGCGCAATTGAATTTGATTGCACGAATTTACAAGCTATGTTATAATAATGTATTACCAGTTCCATAGTTTGCATGATATTAAAAAGTGCAATAGATAAAAGACTAAAAACCATAAGGGATGGTGTTAATGTCCAGAAAACTTAGCTTAACCGAGCGTTAACAAAATTAATGCAGTCGACTTTGAAATCAACTCTCCCATGCCATTTTCTGATGAATTGTTCACGAAAAAAGACCATCCTACTTTTTTCCTTAC